GAGGGAGAGAAATGGGGAGTGAAGTTCAGCCCAGAAAGAAGGGAGGGGTGAGGGGAAGCTGTTTTAAGATTTAGTTTTTATTTCTTACTATCCTACTCTGATTTGATTGGCAATAAATTAAATTAATTTTCCCCACGGTAATTTTTGAGTGATCTCTCCCTGTCCTTATCTTGACCCACAAGCCTTTCATTGTATTTTCTCTCCCCCGAATGACTGACCAGCTTTGGTGGGCACCTGGCGCCCAGCCAGGGTCAACCCACCACAATATTTTTCCCAGGTAATGCTACATTCTTTGCTGGTTTTACATTTGTCCATATGTTCAGCAGTATTAACTGTGTAATAACATGTTGCTGCAACGTATGCTGAAAATACAGAACAGCACAGAAACAAAAGGAGCTTTAGGTAGGTCAGGACATAAACTTAAGATGACAGATTTCCTTCACTGAAAAATACATCTTCAAAATCTCCTTTCTTTGGAAAGAACTTGACATATTTCATCCATGGCATTTAACTGCAGCAAAAGGCATTAAACGCATGCAAAAATATCTCAACAATTGAATCCTACCTCAGGGAAACAGGCATACGTTACAGAAGCATAGGGCTGAAGGAACCTAAAGGGCTGCTTAACAGTTTCACAGGGTACTAGTATGCATTTTTACAAGCAGGCATAGAATGCAAACTGCTGGTAACTTGCACTTATTTAAGAGTGGATCAAAGAAAGCTGAGAAGTTGGCAAATAGGACAAAAAACACTTGCTAAGAAAAATCTTCTGTGTGTTCTCCCTACTACTTTTGGGTGTCTTCACGAGCATCCTAGCCCCCGGCAGAGCACTCTGAGCACTCACTCTGGGGACCATGAGCACAGAAATGGTTAATGGTGATAAACTCAGTAACTGTTACAGGACAGGCTCCCTGGTGCTGCAGGAACTTCCCATCAACATACACTATGTCACATCACGGCCAAGTACTGGTGTTGATGCCTCTACCCAGTTGTGTGGGAGATGATGTCAAAGCCAGACAACTGCAGTTGTCAGCGTAGAGGCTCTTTGCTGCCGTGCTTCAAAATCTGTTGTGTGTGTAAAAGCTGGTAAGTGTCAAGGGCCTAGCTGTGGTTCAGATCTGATCAGATTTGAAACGTGTCAGGATGCTGCATGTGTACAGATGTCAGGGGAGCCTGGAGTGAACTGAAGAAAGCTGAGTGGAGCTGATGACTATCCAAAAAGCTGATTTTTTAATCAAGAAAGACAGCGCACGCCAATGCAGCTAAAGAACATCAAGGAACTATGCAACCATCTGGATGACCTGAGGTAGGAAAACCACAAAACAGGTCTAGCGAAAAAGCAGGCTGCTTTTCAAATGTAACGTGATTAGATAAATATTATGTGATACTTGAAAGCATAAAAAAAGAACATCAGGTTTCAAAAAGCAACAAGACTCTTAACCATTGACATAAACACCACCTCCAAAGATCATATTCTTTTTTTGCTGTCCACCCACAAATTCAACTTCTATTTTGACTGTAGCTGTCTGATTTGGTCTATTGCATCATCGGCTAGAGTAGAAGTTGTACAGGCCAAGACATCCTTGCATAATCTGTGATGGGCATCAGTGAGGCACATGATGAAGACAATGGGCTGCACAGGTAAAGCTATGGCCATTACTTTAGAAACTATTGTGGACAACAGTGAATTGATTGGAGAAAAAAAATCAGTTGGAAAGACATTACAGGGAAATCAGAAGCAAAAAAAAAAAGTCAAACGTAGAATCCACTTTATTTGCAGACTGAGCAAGTGTTATTTCAACATTAAAAAGAGAAAGTGAAACTAGAAACGAAAAATCTCATTACTACAGCATCCCCTTTCCAAGACTGAATAGCACCATAATAGTGTGTTTATTTCTTCTATTTTCCCTCCTACTTTCTTAGCTATTCCAAAGCTCTGTTGGCTTACAGAGGAAACTGCAGCTAGAATATATAAAATGCTAATGCTGTTATCTGGATGGACATCTCAGGAACAGTGCTAGCCTTCAGGCTGTCCCATGGATACTTCCCACTCTTGATCAAGGCCTCCTGAGAACTAAGAAAAACATGCTCCTTAATCTTCATTTAGCAATTTAAGTACTGAAAGATCAGAACTTAAAATTCCACATCTATTTAACACTTGGTTAGTTGTCATTAAGCAACTTGGCACTATCTACATTTCTGTTAATACCATCCTAGTTAATCAGCAACCGTTACCACTCACTGATTATGCTCAGCCAGCCTCCCGGAATACTTCCATACACTTGTGACCTAGTGAAACAGGCTAACTGTGCCAATAGTTCCCATTTATTCACCAGGTTCTGACCCAAAGCACTCAAACGATGACACAGTTGGAGCCTCGTAGACCGGCAATGGGATCTGAGGTGGAAGGTAACAGAGGATATTACATGCTGGTGGAGTGTAGGAGAGGGCTCTAAGGTCAGTTATCTGCACGGAAATACACTGAAAACAAAAATCCCAGCAAACCTCCTTAGGTTACCAGCTGCATTATCCTCTCTGGGGAGATTAAATATTTTGAATCTGATGTTCAAACCACAAAACAATAAGCTTCAACACAACATTACTTCTACATGTACCTTTACCCATTTTTCCCCTGAAGCATCTCCTCTCTCCAAAAGAAATATTTGGCCAAATGTTTCCTTAACCATAATCTCTTCCATTTTTTACCCAAAGATACATCTTAATAATTTCTCACTCTGCTTCAGCTGTTACCAAATCAGAGAATACAGGATATCCTGTATATCTATATACCTACTTTCCAGGCTGAAAGGTTAAAAAGTAAGAATAAATTAAGATTAAAGTTAAGCCTAAAGAAGTTAGATTTTGCAAAGCACACTTAATTAAGCCCACAAGCACTTCACAATTTAGGTAAATAAGTGATATTTTGTAGATGGGAAGCTTTCCTGCTTAAAAACCAGACTCTTTGTTTAGGCAACCAGACAGTTCCCACTGAAATCAACAGCAGTTAAACGTTCAGCAGATCTGCACAGTAAAGCCACCTGTATCTGCCACTTCAATGCCATCTCAATAGGGTTTTTTGCAGGTACATATTATTGAAGTTTAAATACACCCCAAGTGACATTGCAAACAAGCACCACATGTGTAACTTATGCCTCGATTAGAGATGTCTGGAAACTTTATTTTTAGACTGTGTTTTATCAGAAAAGAGTGCTTTAATAAAAGAACCAATTTCCTCAGAAAGGATCAAATACTTCAGAAAAAATGTCATCAGGGAGGTTTCAGAGCGATATTTCTGAACTATATAAGTGGAAGAGACTCACATTTGAGTAGCCAGCAACCCAGAGGTCCAGGCACTGCTTTTGGATGTGGGATTCAAACCCCTGCCCTGCCTGATTTGGTGCCCATGGTCCCAGGGATTACTTTACTCCCCAGCTTACTGCCTATGCTGTATGGCAGTAAGCTGACAGACTGTTCCTGTCTCATATTTTCAAAGTTCTCAATTTTTCCTCACAAGGATTTGCAGCTCTCCCTTCAACTCCTGTACCAATGTTTAACGAGAGGCCTCCTGCCTGCAAAAATACCTCAAAACCCACCTCTACAATACCACAGGGTTCCCTTTTTGGAAGAGCTGAAGCACCTTACTGACTCCAATGTTCATTCAAGGGAGGGATATGTCTAACCCTCTTGAGCCCTGACTCCCCTCAGTGTAGCTCTTCCTTGGTTGGCGTTAAAAGGTGCAAGGCAGCAGAATGCCAGAACTGCTGCGGATCAGTGCTGAGGTGCTTGGACAGCACGGGGCAGCTCAGGGACTGGGATAGAAAGAAGTGCAATAGGTCATGTTCGAGGCAGATCTGAAATGATGTATTTGGGTTATGGACAAGAAGCTTTGTAAGCAATCTCACGGAGTCGTCCTGGTGTGGAGGACATTCCCAGGGAGGACACAGTGAATCCCGTAACACAATTTCAGGATGGGGAATTTATGAGGTTAATTATTTATCTATCTGCTAATTTAGTATCAGCTGTGTTCAAAACCAGTTTGAAAAGCCATGAACAGCTTTTAAAGCATTTTCCTATTTTGAGGTGGGGGTAAATTCGATACATTCCCATTGTAGAGTCCAGCATCTCATTTTTTTGATTGTGAATTACCAGATTCTCTGTGTGTAAATAGCCTCTGTATCCTTGACAACCAGACTTCATGACTGACTCATTCAATGAGGTCATGATTCATTGTCAGAGGCATCACAATTCATTACCTTCTTTCATAGGATTTTTCTTGCCATTTGGTTTGTGCCAAATCATAGGAACTGAGATTTCCTTACAGACAGGAACAAACTATTAACCAAAAACGAAAGCAAACACAGGGCCCAACCCAGCAAAAGTAATGCATAAGAGAACCTCAGTTCCAGGCAGACACCCACAGGCCCTGAAGCCCAGCAAGGCATGGTCCTACAGCACACATGCCTGCCTGCTGACGTTGTGGGCTACTGGGGACCACATGAGGCATAGAGATAAGGAAGATAGACAGTGGATACCTACACAGAATGATTGTTAGCACTTCCACATCTTCTGGCCAGTCTTCAGTAACAACTCCTGAGTGTTTCTCCGAGGTGTAAAAAATGTCATGCAAAAATAAACACCTCTGGCCTTTAGAGGCTGCAGTTGGCTCACTTTTAGCAAAAAGAATTAAAAGGCATCTACTTCCTCTTAGCCCACTCTTTGTTTTCTGTTAAAATTGTTCATTTCAAGACATTCTTGACTGATGCAAAGCATCGTTAATACAGATGCCCTCGGATGCAGAAAGGAAGATTTCTGTGAGTGTAATTGTTTACAGAAGTTTTGGTTCCATACGCCACGGACAGCAGAACGAAGCCCACAGACTTCAGTCCAGTTGTGTACAGTGTGGCCTCTAGCATTATATAGTATGACACAGGAGGTAAGTAAGCATTTAGATGAATGAAAATGATAAAGTAGTCTTATTTTGATGTTGCTTTAGATGGATATAAAATCAGTGGTCACTAACAATGCAGAACTTGGTTATAAATATTTCTATTCTTCTTATGCCTTTTCTGAAAGATCCCATATGCGAGTCCTTCCAAATTTGTATATGCTGCTCAGCTGCAGCCAGGAAGTAGACTTCAGCAGTAGTCAAACATCTGACCTTCTCTAATGTGAGACAGTAAAAAAAGTAATTCAATAAAACGGATAGAGATGCAACTTAATGAGGACTATAAAGAGTAAAAAGTGATTAGAATCCTTTTCGGGCAATATGAAATATTCAAGTGCTCCACAGGCCTGCAAAAAGTATGCTGGTTATGCTATGTTTGCATGAATGTAAAAAAAGCAGCAAAGTGTGTATATATACATACACACACAGAGCCCTGAACAGCAGCCAGCCCTGGGGGTCTGAGTTTATTTGACACAATGTCGTGTATAAGAGATGACAAATCCTGAAGTCCCATGGACTTTGAGGCCAGATGGAATTAAATCAGTGCCTTTTCAGTCTGACATGAGGAACACAGTCTGATTTGACTGAGGAATACTTGACTGGGACAGCTTTACCTTGGAATTTAAATCTCTCCCTGCATTTCCCTCTTTCCTATGCTATCCTTCTTAATCCTCCAGTACAAACTTCACAATCTGTCTTTCCCCCTTACCCTGGAGGTTTCTTTCACCTCGTTTCTTATTCCAGTCTTACCATGAAATACAGGATGTGCCAAATATGTTGTGTCATACCATTTATATTAAATGCCATGGAACTGACTAACTTTGGTGATTTTAGGAGTACATTTTCTAACTTGAGCTAGAAACGGTTGTTGCTTTTTTGAGAGGACAACATACCAAACCAGCCGGTTTCTTTTCACAACTAGAATTCTGCTAATTTTCATAATGCAAATTCACAACTTTAATTGGTTTATGCCTTTTTTTTAATTGCACGAGGAATTTTAAACCATGCTGCCTGAGGGCCAGTTCTTTAACTGCCGAATATGGGAAGAGCTTTATTGAAACCAGGGGGCTTATGTGCAGTAGATAAGGCTCTGGCTTCTCTTTCAAAGCAAAAAATTCAGTCTCAATTCAGTAGGGGATAATTTTAGCAGCGTGCATAAGTCCAGTTCAGCTGAAGAAATTGCTTATGTGTCTGCACCCCTTGTTGAGTTAAATACCTCAGACCAGAAAGCCAGTGGAGGATATCATGCATCTCAGACTTCATTGCCTATGTTGTAACGGAACTGACAGCGTGACACAATACACGGTAATAAACAACCAAGCCTAAGTTATACTTGTAAACATAAATTTGTTAATCAACAATGAAGAAAGGATACAACTTATTAAGATACTTCTATTAAATGCTTATTCGTAGGTGTTACGTATAAGCTATATGTCCCACACCTGAAGCAGATTAGCCAATAGTGTCATTGGAGCCTAAAGAGTGATTAGCCTGATTAGTTGGCAGATGTCTACTCTGAGGTAAGCTTAACCAGTCTCCAAAACCACTCATGGGGATCACAGTTCAGCTGCCAAAATAAATACAGATGTATGGTGACACTGGGAGCACCTTAGGGTTATCCTGTCTGCCCATCAGCTGCCTTGCCAAAAGGGTATCGTCTCCTGCAGGTCTGTGTTGTACCTGCCAGTCCCATATGGATATCTGAGAGTATCTATGGTGACTCAAACTGTGTTTAGGCAATTGATCCAAGCCCTAGATCCTCAGTTATTAGCTTCAATATCTTTTTCTCATGTGAATGTATGTGTCTTAACCTTGTGCTGAATCCAATCTGACTGTCTCAACGGATTATATGAATTAATGTCAGCCTCTTATTCACAGAACAATACTGTGATATTTCCCAAGTAGAAGGTGTATTTTTCTAAAATTCATCTTTTAGAAAACATTTTCCCTGCTACTACATCTCTCCTTTTATTTCAGGCCTTGCAATCACTGTGATACATGATTCTCAACATGAGCACAGAACTAAAATCTCTACCACCACTTTGTTACAGGGCATAAAACCATGATGCTTTCAAGTGTATTGATCCTGCCCTACAAACATGTATCATAAAACATTTAGTGATCAGTGTACTGACCAGTATACTGATCTAACTTTAAAAGCTGTCTTCTATGGACCACACCTGAATAGCTGGTTGTGCATACATTATGTATGAAATTCAAGCAATACTGGCCAGCTTTGACAGGTCATTTAACCCAGGTAGTAGATCTTCTGTCTTTTGGGAAGTGCAGCTTTTGAAATCAGTGTGTTGAGGGTGATTGATTTTCTATATTCATCCAGTATCTGGTGTTCATATTGAACACTTCTGCTGTTACTCTACAAATTGTTACAAGGGAAAATTTGGTTAGATTTAGGAAATATATTGCACCACTGGGGTGGTCAAACTCTGGAACAGAGGGCCAAGGAGGTTGTGGTTGTCTTTGGAGACTTGACACTCAACTGTACAAGACGCTGAGCAACCTGATCTAAGTTGGTCCTGCTTTGAGTGAGGTTTGGATGGTCTCCAGAGGTCCCTTGCAACCTCTTCTATGATTCTGTATTTTTCTTTTTTTTTTTTTTTAAACCTCATTTACTAAAGCATTGTTGAAACATAAATTAGAGTATATTAACTTAACTGAATTTTAAAATGAATTGCCAAAACCTACCTATTTACTGTGTTCTGATGCCACTAGTCTGCTCTGATGGAATCTACTGCTGTTTATCCTGCCAATCATATTCCACACCTAGAAGAAGCTCAATCATCAGCTTCAATTCTGAACTCTCTGCATGCTACATTTGAGTCTGGCGTTTCAAAATGACTGCAGCACAATTGATGTTAATTTACCCATATCTGTTCAAATCCATCCTGCTTTTATATTCTACCAGACAATAGTGAAAAATGTGCTATTAAACTGATACTATAGCTTCATTTTATTAAATTAATAGGTTTCTACTCAGCCTTTTATTCCAGGGCAAATCCTGGAAAAATGAGCAGCAGTGAGCCTGGGTTAAGTGTACACAAAGGCTAAATATGAAATGAGCAAGGTCTTTAAATTTTGGCTAATGTATTTCTAACTAGGGTCCACCCAACTCTCTTTGTGAATTTCACTCCATTAAATGATGTTGACTAAAGAGCTTCAAACTTGTCCAGTACAAAAAAAAAAAAAAAAAAAAAAAAAAAAGTTTTGTATTCTTTGGCTAGGAAGAGCTAAGAACTGGGACAGCGACAGGAACTCAACAGTAAAGTGCAGTGCCATAGGTGACAGGTACAGAATGTAAGAAGGTGAAGCACTTCTCTAACACCTTGCCAAACCCCAAAGCAGCATTCATTTTGACTTTTCTAGCAGTCAAAATGCACAAAGCCAAAGTCTTATTTGCTACCCCTGCTTGGGTGTCCTCATAAACTGCATGTGTTAGTTTCCTTCCCACTCAAGGGACTTCATCATTCTGTCACAGCAGAATCATGTATTCTCTGTCACAAAGGATACCACCCATCCAACCTCTTGTAAAACATACCTTCAGGTCAGACACATCTCTGTAGCACTGCTCGGACCGGGTGTGATCAGACAGCTGCACATTCCAGAAACATGGGAGCTGATAGACAAGGAAGGGATTTTGTTTGATGACTGCATTGAAGATATCCTAGCAGACAAAACCAGAGAAACAGTTGGGTATGTTGTTTCTACAGTGAGGTGATCTCAACCCCTCCCCGAGCTGACTGTCCTTCTCCATCTCACAGGTAGAAATGCAAACGGTTACGCGAGCTGAACTCTGCAAACCTGGCTTTGTAATTCTGTTTCCATAGTGGGTGCTATCAATCTAAGGGGTGACTTGTAGATCTGAACAAGAGGAACAGGCTGTCTTGACACACAGAAGTAACGGACTCCAGCAAAGTTTTCAAAACATGTATCTTGTACTGCTGGCAAGAGATGTGGTTCCTCTTCTAGTCACCATGGAGAGCAATATGTAGTAAATGACAAACTGCCTGCTGTTTGTAAGTACTGCATCACTCTTCAATAAAGGGGATGAAAGTGATCTTGGCAGTTGCGTTGCTTCAAGGTGAATTACTATGTGGGATTTATCTAGCACTTTACTGTTGCATGAAGTATTCTAGGTATTTCATGGAAAGGGCATGTAGGACAGAACTGCAAAACAGCCCACACCATGAGGGACAGAACGTGTCCTGCCTCATCCAGTTGGAGAAGTAAGTTAGGACAGTCTTGCAGTTAAGGTATTAGGGTAAGACATAAGCAACCTTGGTCCACTCTGCAAAATTCTTCCCCGTGCCGGTATTAGACAGCAACTCAAGACTTGATTGAAAACACAATGAAGTTGCAAGAATCATTTTAATGAACTTCAGTAGCTTTTGGATCAACCTGCAAGGACCTGCACACAGGTCCACATCTCTATGTGCGCAGTAAGCAGCATGCTTTCTTAGTGGTGACTGGTAATAAGCCAGATGTAGCTCAGAAGCAGTAGAAATATCTAAATATGATGCTGTATTAAGTTAATACACTCAAGCTGCTGAGCAAGACTTATTGGTTCAGGTCCAGTACTACATTAACAGGATTTAAAACTGAGAGCTGGCAGGAAGCACAAAGAGTAAATATGCATTTCTGTGTATAGGCACACTATTTCTTCTCTTGGCCTCAGTTTCCCATCTGTGGCAGGGAGACAGCAGTGCTTTTGTCTTCACAGGGGTGTTGTGGCAAGGAGTACATTAAAAGACTGCTGGGACTCAACTGCCAGAAACAGTAAAGAAATATCTGGAGACTCTTAGAACTAAAGTCTGCTTGACAATAACCAGTAGGAAAAGACGTAGTATATTTGGACTTCTAGTGTCTGGAGAGTTTTATGTTAAAGAAAGGAGGACAGAAAACTAAAGCTTGAAAACCCCATTTGCCTATCTTACCAATCATCTGTGCACAGGAGGTAAAAACATCAGTGTAGTAAGAGAAACCTCATGAGTGAATCTCCATTCCTCTCTTCCACATGTTCCCAGAACGATTCAACAAACGGTGACAACAGGCACAATATCTTTCTCCTGCCTTTTCCCACACCTCATACCCTTTCCCTTTCTTACCTTCCTCAATCCATGGAGTAGTGGTTGTCCCACTCGTCTGCAATGTCCTACTCACCTGGTCAGCCAGTGAAGTGGACAGCATGCTCATTAACTCCCGCTCAGCTGTGAGTCTCCACATCTGCTCCCATTTCATCTTCCGTAACTTATCGAGAAGCAGCAAGATAACTCCTGAAGGAAAACACAGTGCAGAGAACAAGAGAAGCCATGATGTTACATGCCAGTCAAGGCCCATCCTGTCTATGTGCTGACTCAGCAGTTAAAACAAGGACATGAGCTGAGATCTATCAGTGGAAACTACAGTCCTCACCCTGTACTAACACAGGAGGTTAACTAAAAAAAGCTTCAGGTTTTAAGATGCTACTAAGAGAAAGTTTTCCTGGACCCCTGAGGCTGCAGAGAAGAAATGGAGAGATGGCATACAAACAAATGCTAAGTTATACAGGTTTGCAAGAAGGCCAAAGTAGCCAAAGAGGAGTGAAACTGGGAAGAAGAGAAGCCAGGGAAGGATGTTGTATTTCTAGTAGTCTCCTTACTGATAAAGCTTGATTTCATTAGGACATGATCAGCATTGGAATTGTTCCTTACAAAATTAGCTAATACAGGTGATTCATGTGATGGAGATTAACTCCATCCAAAGGTCATTATCATTCCAAAGAGAATTGGACAAGATCCTACAAGAAAGAAATAAGAAACCTCCGAACACTCAGAAGTGACCCTTTCCACTTCTTATTCTGAAAAGCTACAGGCTCCCAGAGGATATTCTGTCAAGTCACTGTCTACTAGGGAAAGGGTAGAGACAATCCTGATTTATCTAGTATGACTCCATTTCTGCCATCTTCTCACTGAACAGAGAACTGCTCCTTCCAAAATCCCACTGTTTAAATGAGTTTCTACCTGGCCTGAAATCAAGATTATGCTGAGACAAAGAGAACTTTGTCACTCATATAAAATATTTTACTCAACACGTGTGGGGGGGAAATCTGGCCCTTAATATGTACCATATAAGATGCAATACATTTACTGCTTAAGATGAAATTGCAGCCCTTCCTCCACCTAGTAATAACTTAATCACCTGACGTATCTGATCGCAATCCCCGAAACTTTTCTGAATAACAGATTATCAGTGCTGGTTGATAATCAGCCTTTGAGAGTGCCTGCCATGAAGGCAGCAAGTGTTCATAGAGCAGGATCATCAGATCAGGAAGTTACACTCAAAGGGGGGAAAAAAGAGATACCTAGCATGAATTGTTATTCCTCAGTTGCTTTTTGTCTGGACAAAATCCCTGGTGTAGAAGAAAGGAAAACAGCAGAAGCAATGAAGCTGGATTGAAGCATCAGCAAAACCTTTCCTACAATGTCTCAGAAAATTTTACTTGAAAAATTAATTTGGAAGAACTTAGATAAGAGCACTGTCTTGAGGAATGAATGCAAACTGAAGGACCATAAAATAAGAGTACTGATAAACAGCAGCCTAGCAGGTTGACAGGAAGTGCCTAGTAAGAGCAATGATGGGTTCTGTGTTGTTTCACGTCTTCATTAGTGGAAGGGGGAAGTGAACAGAATAGTAATGACATCTGCAAGTGACATTAAACAAGAGGTCTTACAAAAAAAAATCACAGTGACTGTAGAGAAACATAACAGCTACACAGAATGTGAAATGGCAAAAAGCAGGCACTGGGAAAAGCTGCCTGAGGGAGTCTAAGACGATGAAGCTAAAAGTAATGAGAAGAAGAAAGAAAATATAGTCTGAATACTTAAGAAAAATTCTGTTAAAAGCACTGTGGTGAAATAACCTAAATATTGCAGATAAAATGCTTTATTGCATGAGTCTTTAAAAATTAGACTATACAAAGATTAGCAAATATACTTGGAACAATCCTGCGATGGTTGGGCTAGAACAAAGGAGGTTCCAGGTCATTTCTATCTTCAGTTTCTATGATAAGGCAAATTTCTTTCTAGTAAAACCTGGCACTGCCATGAATAAAGAGAAAACCTCTTCTGGCAGTGAATTTTGTGGCCTAATTTAGCTCTGTTTTCCATTTCAGTCCATCTGGTTCCCAAGGATGCTGGAACCTGTACTGGAGGGATCCCCTTTCATCTTCAGTCAACCTCTCTGCTTCCAGCTGTTGGACTGGAAAGGGACGTATTGTCACAACATGCTACAACGTTATTTCTGCCAGTGCGTTTGTCCCCTCTCCAGCATAACCGAAGCCTATTTAGAGTGCGGAGGTGCGTGCATTGGCTTCGAAGAGAGTCATTGTGCATTGTCTGAAATTCTAGATCAATGTGAAGCAGATTTGTTGCGCTGCAGCAATAAACTGGGTGGGATAAGCTTGTCTCTGCAGTCGATTTTTTCCAGCTGGCAAGAACTGTCAGCTTTGTTTCAATAGTGAAATACAACTGAGGAGATTCTTTACTAAGAAAAATAAAGACTAACTGTAAGATTCGGTTAACTGTAATGTAATAGTATTTATAATTTAGAGACAAGAAAAGATTTTTTCTTAATTTCTTTAAGCCTCCAATCTGAGGAGGAAAAGGGGAAATGTTTTAATATGTGCAGTATTCTCCAGTTTTTTTGTCTTCCACTCTTATGCTAGCAGCAGATTATGGCATCGCAGCTAAAGAGATTATGCTGTCCTGAGGGGCTATCATGGTAGCAGCTCAGAGTAAAAGAGGCAGATGGGGTGGAAAAACTGGAATATATGTGAGAAACGATGTATTAAATTATGATGCCATCACAGCTATTGAAAATATTCACAAGCTTTTAATGTTTCATCGTCAAGACTAATTTCGATGTGATTTCTATTTTAATTCACCTACAGGCTTGGGTTTAACACCTTTGTACAGCCTTTGTTCAGGGCTTCTCGCACTGTGGAATTCTAATTTACTGCTGCTGTAAAAATAACTACTGGAGAATATTTATAGCAAGTTTAAATATTTACTCATTAGTGAGAATAAGAGATTTCTACTAAGAGGAGAATTTAATACTGTTCACCTAATTACTGTTATTTAGTGCAAAAGCATGTGTGTTGGGAACTTTTAAATAGTTCATGCAGAGGAAAAATCACCTTTCCTTCAGAATAGAGCACTTCATTTCTACTTCTATATTGTTCTGTTACCAAAAGTGAACAAAACGAACTAACTCCAATTTGTGCAATTAGTTTGCAGGAAAAGTGTCTGAAATAAGGAAAGGGAAATACGTGCCTCAGGAGCCCCTTCCCTCAGAGTCAAATTGACTGAAATCTCAGCCTAAATTCAAGATGACATACAGCTGAACATGAGGGGAAAAGGGACTTACTCTCAGTTGCTATGCTGGGGGAGGAAGAGACTGGAGGAAAAAAAAAATAAAAATCAAAGGAATATTTTATGAACATCTGGCCCCAGGCAGTGGGACTTCTCATCTTTTGATGAGTGCAGCATTTTCCTGCCCTAACCTACCTGAGAAAAACAAAGGGAAAGCTTGGCAGCAAATAAACAAAAAGAGTAAAGTGGCAACCCAGATGTCTCGTGAGTATTAGACAAATTATGATCAGTCACAGAACACCCTACCTTCCTTACCCTGAGGAAATAGGTCAGGCATATACAGAGATCCAAATATCTCACAGAGCTCTTGGAAAAATAATGCTTTGTTACTAAACCTGTGGAACACATCCTAGTCTAGTTTGGACTTGAACGGCATTTTCTCCCCCTGCTTGATGAGACTTTGCTTGAACTACCAAAATCTGACAGATTCCAAATTGCTCAAATAACCAACCAAGAAAGCAAACAAACAAACAAAGGAGTTTCTCAAAAACGTAATTTCAGGATGCACACACAAAAATCCTCAGCTACAAAAGCAAAACAAACTAACAAAGGAATTTGGTGACTAGATTGGAGAAAACAGGGCAAAAAAATGTCTGATTTAACATATTTGGACTAAAACGTTTCAGTTGGGAAATACTGCAAAATTTTTTTTTGGCAGATTTGAACAACCAACTTGTTCTAAAATAATATTTTTCACTTCAAAATTGATACAAATTAAAAATCTTATCGAAAATGGTTACAAGATCTGAAAAGGAAAATAAATGTTTCATTCTGGGTCTAATAAAACTCTGGTGGTCATCTGAATTTTTTGTCCTTTTCCCATTTTTTGATTCATTCCGAATCAAATTTTTTGTCTTTCCAATGTTTTGACTAAGCAGTGGTTTCAGTAGATTCTTCAAGCCATCTCAGCAAAATAGTCTGGGGTTTTTGTGGGGTTTTTTTGTTAATCTGCTCCAGAACAAAATATTTCATTTTTCTGAATAGTAAATTGAAAGTTTGCAGCAACATCAGCAGTTTCCCTTGGAATGCTACCAAGCATCCCCACCTCTTGCTTCAGAAACACAGACTATGGCTTTTCCTGGAATTCAGAGAGGAATATATAGTAGGGCTGGAAGTAATAAACAACACTTTAAGATAGAACAGAATCACTTACAGAAGTTATAGTGAAACTGGACAAGCTTTCAAACTCAATCAATTTATTACAATGGCCCTTTTAAGGTGGCTGAAAAAATACTCAGTGCTGTTGGGGAAAAAATGTTGCTACTAAGAGATCATTTTCTGTAAGCACTACCTTGCCTGTTTCTTTCAGGTGGAACAGGACGCTTCTGTGAGCTTTTGAGGCAATGCTGTATTATGTGAGCAGCATCTCAGAGCCTATCCTTGTCAGATTTTTAAAAATGCTTCTCAAAACTAAGCCTATAACAGTGAACCATCTAGACAGATAGCAAGTAGATACCATTACAATATCTGAGAAAGACAGGCAAGACATACTTCAAAATATACTATAAAGCAATAGCGAGTTTTAAAAAAAATTGCTAGGATTTTACAATACCTAACCAGCATGCCAAAGACCATACACCAAACCACTGAGTCTTAGATGCTGTAAGTAATAACGTTAAATAAGGCTGACATTATGGAGATTTGCTGCAATAAATAACCGACCCAGAGATTTAAGGCAGTACAAACAACAGTAAGCTACCATGTTTTGTGAAATAGATTTGGTACTAAGAAGCTGAGTTCAGTTTTAGGCGCTATGGAAGGGGCATGTAGCTTTGCTATCCAGGAGAAGCGCCATGGTAGCGTTGACTGCTTAGTACTCTACAAAATACTTATGCATGTTCTTTTAATTCCGATTTATTGTACCT